ACTTTCTAGAGGGACCACTATAGACTTCCACTAAACTTCCAGTTAGTGTGAACTCTACCTATTCAGAGAGTATGCAGAATCCAAGACCTTGGTAAAAACTGTTTAGTTCCTTTTATGAATAGAGTGCTAAGTTTTGTATTCATTGTGATGACAGTGATGATCATGATAAAAAGGCAAAAATAACTTTGTGCCCAACAAAAAATTATGATGGTTCATGATTTTTGTCCATGTGATACATTAGTCATCCTCGCCCATTAGCAAAGGTGACCTTAGTGGGGTGTGGTCCATATTCAGGGATGGGGTTGGAGGTACTTGGTCTTGCTCCACAAGGCGTTCAGTCATTTCTATGTCATCAGGTGCCGAGTAAAATGGAGATCCCATTGAATAATGCTTGTTGTGAAAGTCTGCGCATGGATGTAAGGATAAAAATATGAGTGATATGAATAGAACTTATTCATGATACACCCCATCTGCACATGTTTTAGAATTGATGGCTTAAAAGCAATGTCACATGGTAATTCAGGGGGCAAACAAGTGATAAATTAGGCCAATATGAGTAATGGCAGTCAATTTTGTGTATTCTCTCAAGACAAAACAACAATTTTAGTCATGCAAAATGTACAGTTCGAGCTTCAACATGTTTTACATCATTATTTCTAGCTGTGAGGACATCTATGGTCACTACTATTGTGTCCAAAAAAATAAATTTATAAATAAAATTTCCCATTATTGTTTTTAAGATAAAGAGTTCTTCATTTCCTGTTATGTAGAATAAAGTGATTTCTTAAATTTGGAGATTTTATCACTTGTTTACCCCCTGAGTAACACAGTGACATTACTTTTATCCTATCAGTCCTTAAGTGTGAGCAAAGATGGCAAGTATCGTGAATAAGATCTATTTACTGTTTAAAATGAAGTTTTGTAAATGAAAAAAAAAGATAGTTCTCAACATTGTTAAATCATTTATTGCCAAAAAATCTCTATTACCTTGCCCTGTCAAACAGCATTACATGGTTCCTAGATTCAAAAACTTCTAAAATGGTACTTAAGTTAAAAAGTTCAACTTTTGACACATTATTACAGATATTACTGCTGGCAACAGTATAATAAAGTAGTGCAGTTGTTCACAGCTTTTACTTGGAAAGGATATACAAGTACATACTTGTACCTTCCCAAATGTAAAGGCTTTTGGGGGGTCCTCCTTGATCTGGAAAGTCAGTTGGATAATTTATGCTTTTCATCATACACCTATAAACTTTGAATTTTGAACCCCCTTATGAAAGCTTTGAACACAACAGGTTTAAAAATATTCAACACAAATCTTGTAGTTCTGTCGGTAATAATCCACTCTTATGATAAAAATGTTCTATTTACAGTGACTTAGGGCCTGTTTACATGGAGGCAAGGAACCCCAGGTAGGTGAGGTAACATGCGGCGATCACCCCACCTATCACGTAAACGTGATCAAATTGAAATGAGAGATTATATGGACAGGTAGGTTACCCCAACTAAGCCGGTTACGTCACCTACGTGGGGTCCCCCACCACCATGTAAACAGGCCCTTAAATGATAGTCATTGTGTGTGGGTGCCTGGAATAAAGTACCAAATGACCACTGATCTGAAATCAATCCTCCTTTTGATTCACACACAAGCAAAACAGAATGGAAAAGAATTTAGCAGTTCATTAGAAGTCACTGGGGGATTAATCCAGGCACCCCTTCAGTCTGTCTGTTGAATGTAAGTATATTTTAACTGATGCCATTAGAAACTAAACAATTAAAAATAATATTTTAAATAATTATCAATTTACTGATACAGTATTCATAAGTCCACACAATGTATTTTATTTATGCTCAAACCTTTCGATCCGCATTTACTTAATGCAAGCATAAAGAATCTACATGTAATTTAAATAAAACACATTATTTACATACAAATAAAAAAATTCAGGTGCATTACTTATAGTGTCAATCATGTTAAAACATAATATGGCTATACATTTTTGATGAAGAGCAGTAACTCGCTGTAAAAAGTTGTTGCCATGTGTACTGCTGTCAGAAGTTACTATTATACGGACCACTTGGTTAAATCTACCATTTCTAATATAAGTGACAGGTGCAAGTTGTCAAGTACTATGCGAACCACAAAATGAAGTGTTTGTATGAGAAATTAAAGTTGCAGTTTGTCCTGGCCATTCTTGTTCAAATTGTTGGATAGCACTATCCGCCAAATTACTATCCAGCAGAAAAGGACAAGCAAAGGGGAAACAAACAGTTTTAAAATGATAGATTTATGGGTCTGCTACATGCTATTTGTTTCTTAATAAAATTTATGCTTAAATTGGGTGATACTATGTACAAATGAAAATGAGAACGACAATGAGAAAGTCATGTTTAAAACACTTTTGTAAAATCCCTCGACAATTCTTTTTTTTTCAGACAAATATTTTATGAAATATCATTACAAAGCACCTTTAAACAAGCTGGAAACTTTGGTCATTTTGACTTGAATGATTTCTACGATGATTCTCACCCTTTGCTGGTTTTGGAGGCTTCTTTCCTGTCTTAAGGAACTGGACTAACAAACCAACAAGCACCATAAGAGGCCAAACTCCAAGAATGATCCAAGAGAAAAAGCAAGGTTTTCCTGCGTCTTGCTTTATAAAAACTTTGTCCCAAGCATGGTGGACCAACCGCAAGTCCTCAATAAAGTAGTCTATCCCTCCCATTATCAGTACACCCCCATAAATTGATGATGAAATGATCAGAAGAACACGCTTCCACCAAACGCTAGCCCCTGCCAATAAAACGCTCACACTTACGAGTAGACCAATGGGTATTGAGAGTGTGGTGTACTGGTACAGTGATGCCAAGCCAAAAAGGAAGACCATTGATAAGCTAAACCCAGCGACAATTCCACTGGTAAATAGTCCACAGAAAATAACTGTTGTGCAGAGGATTCCTCCAAAGATGCCCACAGCAGCTGTTATGAGAAGGATGTACTGAATATGAAGAGAACTTCTGATTAAGCATATCATGTATGTAAGAAATGCTGCAGATGAAAATCCAGTCAGGAATAGAGTGGCTCTTTGCCTTTTGAATCCTACAAAACAACAACAACCCCATAGTCACTTGCCTTTAACCCTTTAAGCCCCGGTATCCACATACAAATATTCTCCAAACTGATTTCTATACATTTCCTTAAGAATAAGTAGAGAGAATTTGATAATAGATCAAGGCATTTTCTCTTGTGTGATCATTTTATTAATTCTTATAACTTATCTCTTGACAGTGTACGGATACTGTTTGGAGAAATTTGATCTTGGTCACTATTGGGACTTTAAGGGTTAAGTTCATCACGGCAGTAGCGCGATGTTTGAAACCAAGTCAAGCTACTGCCATGTAGCACAGCAAAGCTGCAGTAGCACGACTTGGTTTCAAACGTCCCACTACTGCCGTGCTAAAGTCAAATTGATTTTGATCATTATATTTCCTCAGGGCAGTAGCACGACATTGAAACTGGCCTAATAAAGCTAAATTACTGCAATTAAGCAGTGTCAATAACTTGTTTGCTGTAAAAATAAATTTGAACCACACCCCCTCCCCCCAAAATAAAAGCAAAACAAACCAATTAGGTTTTTTGAGGGAAAAGTAGTCTGAAATGTCATCTGTCTCCTCCCCAGGAGGAGACGGCTGACATTTTGGATTAAGGGAAAAGTGAGAATAATAAGTTCATAAATAGGAAGCTGAAAACAATAAAGATTTAATAAAACTGACAGAGGATGTTTAAATAAAAAATTACTGGATGAAAAAAAGAAGAAGAATTATTTTTAAATGCAAAAAAGCAAACATAGATTAAATGTTAATGATTTTTTGAAAGATAACCTACTGCCCTGAATACACAAACAAAAGATGTCTAATGGATCACATTGATCTTAACGTAAAGATACAATTACCATGACTAATCTGATAAAAATACAACTAGTCATTGGCCAGATTAAGAAGACCAAGGTCCCTGCCATTTTAATTTAGGAATGACAATGAAAGCACAAGTTAAAAAGGCTGACAGTAGAAATGCCTGCTTTGTCTTCTTGGCAGCTCATGAGAAGCCCAAAGTCAATTGGACAAAGTCCCTGCATGTACATGTGGTGTCAGGCCATTCATGCATTCAACTGGAACCTCCCTTTGGCAGTAATTTGCATTATTTTACAAAATTTGAAGATGAGATGAGATTTGGAACTCAATCCTTTGGTTTAGGTTAATATTGATTCTGCATATGCATATACGGATTAAATGATTAAATATCTTTTGGCGGGGGAGGAGGGGCGAATGAGATTTAGTGCCCTAAAAAATGGCTCTTGTGATTCATTTTGATGAAGGGCCCCACTGGGGGTTATCCACTCTCTTTACGTTTGCTTTCCTTTGCTCACTTTGCGTATCATAGCGGGTCTGTATGCAGTACGAATTAGCTAAAATTGTTTCAACCCGAAGTTGACGACAACAGATGTTTGACTGGGGCTCCAGAAATAGACCACACAAACTCGAGTTGCTTAGAGATTGTCTTGTTTAGTAAACTGTGAGCAATAGAGCAGAAAGCTAATAAACGATCGCAAACCCAGTGTGTTCTAGTTCTAAGGAGACGATATCGTGTAAAACAGCTGACTTTTAGAATGTAAGTACGGCAAGTGATCCCTTATATGACAAGCAGATGGAATCACGTCGACGGAAGTGGGTGAAAACCTCCCGTTTGTTCTGACGCATGCACAGACCAAACAAATGATGAACCTATAAAATGCTAATGAAACGAAAATTAGCCCATTTCCCAATTTAGCTATGGCCGATATAGTCCATGGCGATGAATAAAGAAGTACGTTTGGTCTTTATAAAACGGTAATCGGCATATCACTGTACTCACTGTAACCGTGTTTACCACAGGCACAATGAAAACATTTAAAAACCATTTACATCTACATGCCTCTTCAGAACTTTCTTGACGTGAGAAAACGTGTAAACAGCTTAAACCCGATCGCGCTCACATTAAAAACAAAGGGCTTTTAAAATAATACTGTTTCACGATAAAAGTGCTATCGTTTTCGAGATAATGTCAAAGCTTACAAATGCAGGGAGACATGTCTGTCGCTGTTTTACAATGTAAGGCCGGTAATTTTACCGAACTTTTAGTTTTCAATGCTAGCGGATCCGTATTCTTCTCAGCCACAAATATATTCAACATTTACTTTTCATATTTCTCCATTATTGTCTCGTTTCCTGTAAACCCGCTTTCCACCGGTTGTTTTTATTGTCTCTGAACTATTCGATTCAAAATTTGGTTTAGCGAGTGTTTGAAAGAAGCGCCAAAAAAAACTTTGTCAGTGATCCATGCATGCGTGCAGATTGAAAGATTCTATCGGCCGCAGCTGAAAAGCAATCAAGAAAATATATAGACATCTATCTATTTTATCCTCACCAAAAATCAAGTGGAATCCACCGATTAGCACGCACAGCGATGCAGCAATTCCTGGTCCATAAGTGATAGGGAACTCCAAATCTTTCCACTCGCAACTGAAACTCTTAAGAGCATTTCCGTTTGGTGTCTCGGTCGTCTTGGTCGAGTTCATGTTCGCGGTGATAGAAGACACCGAGCAAAGAGCCAGCACACTGAACGCTCGAAGGAGCGACAAATAAAAACGTCTAGACCTCTCAATCTATAGTTCAACAGTCATTAAGAATTGTAATTAGCAAGTGAACAAAGAAAATTTTTTTACAACCTGAACTCAGAGAATATGCCAAATCGTGTAGCTACTTACCATGTTCGCGTGTTGTTCGGTCTTTGTATAGGAAAATTTTTTAAGTTTATCTCTCTGATTGGATTTTCATCTGCCCTAATCAGATGTTATCATCAGAAACGTGGCAGGGATTTTCTTCTCTGGTGTGTTTACCGTAACCACGAGGTGATCTGTAAGTCAAACAACCTATATTGAAACACAGCAAGAACGATCAGGTCGTCAAACGAAGAATCTTTGTTCGTAACCTTGGGATATACTACAGTATTGCATTACCGTGAAATCTATTCTAAATTAATTTCGTCATGCAATTCATGAATTATTAACGTCGTAGGTCACGCATTCTCTAGAGAATAAACTCCAGCAGTCTATAACTTTTTCCAAACCGAACAAGTTTTATGTTATTAGTTTCGACTGAAATACCCTGCGAGCAGTGGTTTCTCCAGGCCTTCTCGCAGGGCACGATTGAAAATTGCATAAAACTTGTAAGAGATTTCGTGATACATTACTAATTGTTAACGATTTTATCCTTTTACGATAAGTAATTTCTTATAAACCGTGCAGTTCATATAAAAGTGGTAACCGCAAAATTAGATACCCATAAAGCCTGAAAGGTTAAAAGAGAAAAAAAACGACAAGAAAATGAATAGAATTTTTAATTAAATGTCATAAGAAGGTAATGCATCAGTCAACTCCAGCTGCAACCCCCCTCCCCCCCACACCCCCCCAGGCTACTGCGGGCCCCGCCGTTTCAAACCCCACACCCCCCCCGGAGTTATTCCCGGCTATCAGAATATAACTACACAGAGGATATTACTAGAAAAAAAGGGGCATTGTCAAGCCCGCGTTTCTCAGTCCCGGGAATGGGGCATTTGTTGATTCAATAATTTCCCAATAGTCTGCCTCGGGGCTGGGATTCGATTACTGTTTTTTGAAAATTACACAACCCTCAGGTTTTTTTCTCCTGAGAGTCGAGTGCTTTTTCAAACAAACAAACTGTTACGCGCCAGTTTCCTATCAGAATATAACTACACAGAGGATATTACTGGAAAAAAGGAGATTGGCTCATCTGTCAAGGACAGGTCATTGTAAAGACGTGTTCTCGATTTTAAGCATGCATTTCTTCATCGCTTATGAAGCCAGAATTTCATAACGAAACTCCGGAGCTATCGACGTGAATCAACGTTTTTCGGCAGGTGAATCAAATTTCTGTTGATATTATTTGAAGAACATCCTTTCATAGTTATAACTTTACAGCGCTTTATTAATTTTAATGTCGATAATTTTCATAAACTGACGGGGCATTTGCCCTCTGTTTTTGTCCCCACCCCGGGGGATTTGACAGCTCAAGAGTCCCCACCCCCAGGAATTTGCCATCCAAGGTAATGCCCGGGGGTCAGCCCGTGCGAGGTGGGGGTCTGGGCGCAGCTGGAATTGACCGATGCATGATTGTTAACATGGTCCAAGCTAAAAATAACAATGATGATAAAATAAGAGAGAATTCTCTCTTGTGACAAAAACATTTTGATTTTATCACTTACTTTATAGAGTCAGATAGGAAAAGAAAGGGAAAAAAACACTTTAGAACAATCTGCATCATGTCTGAAAAACAAACAAACAAACAAACAAAAATAAATAAACTTATTTGGCTAACTTTTTTTACGTAGTTGAGGCCACAAAACTGAACAGATATCACTTCGCTGTCGTTTACGGTCTTTTTTGTCATGACGTGCATAAAATTAGCCTTGACTATAGAATTTTATATGCATAAAACAGGTAGCCATGTATTTGCATAAAAATTTTTCAAAGGTGAACTGTTTTCGTGTTTACCGAGACTCGGGCTTCTACTAAACTAACAAGCCAAATTTATACCGTGTAAAATACTGGCAACGCTCCGAGTCCGCCCGTTTCACATTGTAAATGCGTGTTTGCAGAAAAATAATTTTATGTTGCTTTTCGTGATAGTATGATATATAAAACACTTTCAAATAATAAGGCGATAGCAAAACAAACTCAGTTGAGTCTCTCAGTTGGCCTCGTAGTATCAGTTTATCTTATTTTCTTTATTATTTATTTTTTGCCTCTGCAGACTGAGGATATGCCGTTTTTCGTAGCAAAGACATCCTTTTGAAAGTTACATAATTAGTACGAAAGAAATTCAACTCAGAAAAATTCGTTCAGAACGAACGGCCGGGATACGGCTATTTTTTCGCTCTCTCAATCTGATAACGAGCCCACGTCTGCTTGAACTGTTTTCATCCAGTAGCAAATGACGGACCAAATCATGACTTTTTATACCGTTCAGTAAGCCGACAAAAAAGTCGATACTACTAAGGACAGATAGAAATATATTTACGATAACGTGACACATGTTATCAAAAATCGGTGCTATCTGTAACATGCGGCCTTTCAGGGCTGAAGGCGTTTTATGCCATCAAATAAACAGCTTAATGAGAGCACCTTTAAGATAAAATAACGGGTCGAGATCCCGTCGGCAGCGGCACATGTCATAAATTAATATCCCTCATATCATAGTTTTTTGAGAAGATAGTAAAAACGCTCGACCTACCTCCATTTTCTGTCTCGGGAAGTTAATGTTTTAAAATGTACCAACTGTTGTTCTCAACCGATGACTTCAATCTAGACCGTGTTGTGTTGATAACCCACGATAGAAAATTAATGACGTGTTCTTATTTATCCTAATGTACTTTAGGTGGTCACATGCAGGATGTTTATAGAGAATAAATTAAAAGCACATGTAAATTTAAGGACTTTAAAAGTGGGAAAACACAGCCGGTTACCAGCTGGCATGGCAACAGCAAAAGAAATACAAACTGCAGAGACTTTACCTTTTCCTACATCAAGAGACATTTATAAAATAAGAACCTTTACAGTTTATATATAGCTATCATGAAGGAAGGTTCATTTTCACTTTAGCTTCAGTGAAACAAGCAACCAGTGAGACAAATATTATAGCCACACAAATCTATTTTCTGAGTGACATTTTAAATTCAGCGGAGCAGTTTGATCATTTAGTGAACGTGATGAGCATAAATAAATTTCAGAATAATTTGGGCAGAGTGTTTTTCGAGCAGGAGCCTTTAATGATCTACAATACCTCTGAATACTAACCATACGTAACAGTTATGGACCTAGTAGGTACTATCTACCACTTGTTGTCCTCAGATTTCCTACCGTTTTTCTTAAAAAAAAAAACTCCCACTTCTCAGGCGAGGTGAAAATCCCACGTGCCTCTTTTATGACCAAAATTAACCACTACATTTGCCAAAATGAACACGAATCCGAACATTTGACCATAATGTGCAAGAGGCCTTAAACTACTCTGGGGAGTGCTTTTAAAATTAAACAGTGCGGTTTTGGTGAGTGGATTCACTGGTTTCGTGTGTACGGAAGGCCGATTCATGTAAAAAAAAGTATGCTGTTTCAAAAATATCCCCATTCGATCGTGTGGACGTTATCCAAACTTCGGTCGGGTCTCTTCAGGTCAAATTTTACGCTACTGGTTTATCGCAAGAGGTTATCATGATCTTTTGTGAGAGTTCAAATATAGAGAATTTCATAGTTACTTTAGTTCACTTAGGCTGTGTTTACACTAGCTGATAAGGTGTCACTCCCTAAAGAACACTGATCAAAAAGTGTCAAATGTTTTCATAAAACACAATCGTTTCGGGTTTATGATCTTTCTTCATTGTGAGAAAAAACCGTTGTACAGTACTATGCAATTTCATATACAGCACAAAAATGATCGAAGTACGCACGCCTATAATAGCCAGCCTCGGCCCCAGGGCTTTTCCCTCAAAAAATGGGTGGGGCGGGAAAAGGCCATTTTCCCGCCCCACCCATTTTTTGAGGGAAAAGCACTGGGGACGAGGTTGTATAATAGCGTGCGCAGGATGAACATAACGTCCCAATTCAAATGAAACTGAAATTGATATTCAGTCCTTTCGGCTGAACGGTGCCTAGTTGAAAAGTCAACCGCATCTCACGTTGCTTTCGTTGAATGTTAGTACCACTGCATAATGCCACACCATGCCACGCACCTGGACATCAGAAATACTGTGGCCAGTGGAATTGAAATGTTGGGCCACAGGAAACCCAGGAGTGTTGTTGCGTATTCTTCGCAGATGTTCGCTGAAGCGACTCCTGAGGTTTCTTCCAGTCTCACCAGCGTAAAGACTGGGCATCGGCGCCAGCATATGGAATAGACAAGATTCTCGGAATGACAAGTGAAATGGTGCTCACTCTGTACAGGATAGCTTTCGCGCTAGCACGAAAACCATACCGCCTAAGGAGCCGCGAAGCTGCTCATTAGTATCAGGAAAAATTTCTGCACTCGTTCCACAGACTTGTCAGACGTCATTTCGCGGTGAAACTCCCCAGCAGTGGTGGCTAGCCTGAAAAAGAAAATTCGCGACACAGGCACTGATTTCACCTGGAAATGACGTCTGAGAAGTGAGGATCGAGCTCAGAAATTCCATGTCGATGACCTTGTCACTACCCACATATGGTTATTGCTTCTGATTGGTTGAAAATTTGCAGAAACCTTCTAGATCTTGGTTGACGGGTCATCAGGATGGAATATTTCTGTGCTCGTTCCTCAGGCGTCATTTGGCGGGAAAAACCGTGATGGCGGTGTCCTCGGGGAATATCAGCTGTTCACATGGTTTATATCATGTTACCTAGCCAACATGGAACGAGAGAGCCAATATTTACTAAGAAATAAACAGACCTGTCGGGAAATCCATAACTTCTTAGTAAATTCTCAAGTTTTTGAACGGTTGTAGATAATTAGCCCGATCAACACCAAATCTGAGGATTTGCAAAGCCTGACCTTGATGATCTCATAAAATACGGGGCGCGATCAATTCAACCAATATTCAGACCGGTCCGACCAGCCAAAAGTGGTCCACCTCAAAAGGTGGACCAGTTTTTCGCAACTTTTCCAGTTGGACCGAACCGATCCATTGAGTTTTGGACCGAAATGTCCGGAAATTTTGGTTGAATGGATCGCGCCCACGGACTTGACCAGGGCCCAGTTGCTCGAAGGCTCAGAATAGCTCTAACACAGGGTTAGAGTTTAACCCGGGTTTCTTTTTCTCGTTTGTTCAAAAGCATTTTCCTCGATTTTTTCTCTATTCTTTTTAGTCCATCCAATCATTAAACTGTAGACAAAAATAATAACACTGATTTTGCTTGTTAAGCTTTGAAATCTAAATTCAAATTTTGCACTCTTAGCCCTACTTTAGCTTTCTTTGAACACCCCTGCCTGGGAGCCCAATCCTCCACCGTGTGAAACTACTTTCGCACCGTTAGTTTTGTGTTACATGAAGTAGTATTGTGTTTGCTGCCGAAAGTGAATGGGCATCAGATGTGCAGATGGAAGCAAGAGGAAGATAAAGAAAATCGGTAACGTCCATATTACTTGTTTTTCAATTTCCTGTTTACCACAACAGTCGTGCAAATAATTTGTAATTTTTAGAATCATTTCAACTACTTTATGCACTAGACGAAAAGCTAAACACAGGCAGAATTACCCGAAAAATGCCCTTGGGAATTGTGATGCTTTGAGTCGTCGTTCTATTGTGTGAAGTTTATCGTGTTATTGTGTAAGGGCTGGAGATCATTTAACCTGAGATCAGGCATTATTATTATTATTTTTTGTGCTTCTTTGCTTCTTTGGCTCGAGAGGGAAAAAAAATAACGCCTGATACATTTATTTAACAAGCCGTCAACCGCCCCCTAATTTACATAATCCAACGTCTGCTTGACCTGTCATGTTATCAGCCAATAAGCGTTTACCATACGGGAATCAAATTTTGGCGCGAATAATGTCTCTTTTGAAATCAATTGTAGGGAAAAGGAAATTTTTAAGTACGTCCATGTTCAGATGGCGCTTCCTAAAAAAAAATTTTAATGTGTTGTTTTTGCGATGAAATACTGCTAGCTGGAGCTGCCGTACCTTTATTTAACAGCTACAACTAATAAAGAATTTACTGATCTTTACTAGTTAAAGCTCGTTGACTTCATTCTGTGCCGAAAGCAGTGAAAAAAAAATTAGGCTGAAGCACCATATTTCTCGAACTGAAAGCTGTTGTGAATGCGAAGATCGCTTAGAATAATTTAAATTCGCAGCATGATTTCTTGAAGGAGGAATTACAGTCAAACCAGGTCAAGATTCCATTCATGAATTGATTATTTGAAAAGTGAACCCGTTTGTCGCTTCTGTAACTTGTAGCCGGTATCAAATTGCATTCAAATGATCCGTGAAATTTTGACTGCAACTGTTTTAGTATACGATGAGATGGAAAATATGTCAATGGATGAAACTTCTATTTAGGCATTCTTCAAATTCAAGAAAACTGAGCCGCAGAAATTTCATAACGAGCTCGCGTGTGTATTCACTGCTCATTACGCAAGCAAAAATGCAGACTGAAATCAACAACAACTAACGGATGGCGGCATTTTGGCCAATCGGAACAGCGCAAATCATCCGTATTGTTTCCTATCCAATCAGAAAAAAGTCCAGATTCTGGCTTTTTTACATGTGATCCGACAAAGAAATGTATCATGCCCTCTTCCCGTGAGAGACATAAAGGGATAATAGGGAGAGGGCATGATCTCAGGCTAGGGATCATTAGTCAGATTGTTGTGTTCTTTATGACGTAACTCGAGTCTTACTATTCACTTTGATTTATGCAGCTGGTTTATGGCTGTACTAGCCCCGGGAAATATTGAATTGTCATACTCTTAAGGTTGACTTGTCATGGCCAGTAAAGAAAAATTGGCGACTAAACTTGCATCAAAAGTCGCCAATTGGTGACCTGTGTTCGGCAGTCATGTGCCAAGGTGTACAAAGTTCCTTTATCAGCTAGTTTTAATGGTCTCTCGGAAGTTAAATTGAGATAAACATTTGCAAGAAATATTATTTACGCTCAGCCTGGTTGTCCTGGTGTGAAGCGTTGAGATGCTGCAGGAAGTCCTATTTTGATTACAATGTAAGTGTTACAGGTCAAATTTGATTTCAGGTTAATTTTGATTTAACCTAAGATGATTTTCAATTTCCTTTGTTTTTTAGCCCTAATTCATGAATAATTAGAGCTAGGAGTCATAGGCATGATAGTTGGGCAACCATTTTGATAAGACGGGTGGGAACTGGGTCAGATGACAACAAAAATGGAGGTATCTTGAAGTTAGCTGAACATGTTTTAAAGAAACCGTTTACTACTGCTCTCTGGGTTTTTGCAACTGACAACACTTTAGATGTCAAGAGAGTTAAAAACAATTAAAATCAAAGGCTATACTCAAATCACATGGTCAAAAATTTGTTTTACAAATGATATTACACAAAGACAGATTTCCCGCAAGAAAAAATCGTTTTATTTTCATTGCACTACAGTGCTCTGGTGAAGATTAAAGTCGGGAAAATGTGTCTGTTCTTACAGACATTGATCAGGCTTTGAAAATTAAGAAAAATTATGTTTAAAATTTGGTCATTGCAGGTTCTTTGTAATTAGTGAAAAAAGCATGAACAACTGCAAATTCAAACTTTCTACTAAGAAAAACATTTTTGTAAAAAAGTTGAGAAGCTTACAAAAATTTGGATATATGACCTTGAAATGTCAATAATTTTATGCTTGATTTAATTAAAGGTTTGAACCCTTATTGCACTTAGTAAATCTCAATGTCTGAAATTAGGAACAAGTCATGGAGTTTTCCTTCAATTATCCACTTTATTGGTAAATTTTTGTTTGCTTTACTATTAGGTTGTTAAGCAACGAGAACGGACATCACAGAAGTTTGATGTCTTGATGGACCTCTTCTGTTCCAAGCTTCTGTCTCACACAACACATCTGAATGCCTTGTTTTATAATGAGCCCCCGCCAACTGCTGTGCGAATTTGTCCAGTCAGTGCAGTTTAAGAGAGAAAATATCAACTTCCGGTTGCCATTTTTGACCTCTGGGATGTCAGCGTTGTTTTTGCTTAAGGGTTTTGTCGTTTTTTACCTGTGAGGGGGGCTGAGGTCGGCCATTTTGATGGGGGGTCATTTTCAAAATCTTGCTTGGTTTTGAGGGGTTGCTTTCAAATAGGGGGGTGTCATATGGGGGGGCATTAAATACAAAGCAAAATCTTATTAAGAGAGCGATGTAGGTAATATTGATTTGTAGGAAAGCTAAGACTAACATAGCCTGTGACTAGCCTGCAAACTTTGGCACAATTTGTAGCAAGAATATTGGCCTGTATAGCAGGTGCTTGGAAGTATTTTATATTTGCACCCAGTTCTTTCCAGTGCCCATCAGTTTCCACAACAATCGGTTTTGGATAAATTGGGGGGCTGGTTTGACACTCTTTTAAGCTCTCTCAAAATGGCCAGCCCTGCCTCAAAGGTAAAAAATGACCAGCCCCTAGGGTCCCTAATAATTTCCAATAAAGAACTTCCATCTTGGCTAAATTAAACCTTGAATGGTGTACTCATTATGTAGCATGTAGCAGTATTATTTTTTCTTTTGTATTCTTTTATTGTTAGTTGTTTGAATTTTTGTTTACTTTTATACTTTTTTACACAGCGTGAAAGATCCAAGAAAGGCTAATTACACTATTCACACATAAGATGGCTTGGGCTGATGAGTTGTTATGTGCGGTGCATTTTGGTAACCATGATGAGGCTCTGCATTTGCTACAGCAAGGTTATCCTCCAGATGGGAAATCAAATGTCACCATATCACCCTTACATGTTGCAGTAGAAAACAATGATCTTCAAATGTGTAAACTTTTGTTAGACTACAATGCTGATATTAATTGGTGTGAATCTGATGGTCAGTCACCACTATTCACTTCTGCCGGAAGTGAAATTAGTTATGAAATATTTGATTTCCTCTTAATGTCAGGAGGGAAAGTGGACATATGTGACATGTTTGGCAGGACACCACTTCATTACATAGTCAGTTATGGAGAAGTTGACAAAGTAAAACGTCTTCTTCAAGTGCCGGGCATTCTAGTGAATGCTACTGATCATGAAAGTTTCTCATCTTTGCATCATGCCATAACTGCAATTGATATTGACACTGAATTTGATGACCTTAAGAGCATAATAAACTTGCTTTTAGATGCTGGTGCTGATCCAAATCTACAAGATGATCGTGGCTTTACTGCACTTCATTTGGCTGTCATGCATGAGTTATATTTTGTTGAACTCAC